ATAGATAGATAGATAGATAGATAGATAGATAGATAGATAGATAGATAATGAGAGAAAATTAGAGAGAATGAGAGATGGATGGATGGTTGGATGGACGGATGGATGGATAGATATTTAGATAGATAATATAGAGAGAATGAGAGAGAGAAGGAAATATGAGAGAATGATAGATAGAGAATAGAGAGAGAGAGAGAATGAGATATAAGAGAATGAGAAAGAGAGAAATATGAGAGAATGATAGAGAGAATGAGATGTGAGAGAATGAGAGAGAAATATGATATATTGATAGATAGATAGATAGATAGATAGATAGATAGATAGATAGATAGATGATAGGTAGGTAGGTAGGTAGATAATAGAGAGACAGAATGAGATATGAGAATGAGAGAAAGAAATATGAGAGAATGATTGATAGATGATAGATGATAGATAGATAGATAGATAGATAGATAGATAGATAGATAGATAGATAATAGAGAATGAGAGAGAATGAGAGAGAGAGAGAGAGAGATATGAGAGAATGATAGATTAGTAGGTAGGTGGATGATAGAGGATTCCAATGGCTGTTTTCCCATGCTCCACTTCTGAGACCTACATAAGCTGCAACCAAATGAGTTTCCATAAGGACTTCAGGCCTACTTATACCAAAGTCTTCTTAGAAAATTCAGTACGGCAAGTGGGGAATTGAGTTTCACGTTTTCTTCATTAATGCAAAACTGTTTCATACTTTCTCTTTCTGCATGGCTGTGCCCACAAGACATGTCTGCCACATTTCCATAAAGTCAGTTTGTATCGTCTCCAAGAAATACTGAAACTCTTTTAAAAGCTTTGAAGCATCAAAAATAGAATTATGCTTTATATTTCTCAACATCAAAATATTTTTAAAGCCCTAAATCCATTGACACTGCTTGCTGATACATATTCATATGTTCCTTTGAGATTTTGCAATCTTCAGAAACTGTTTGGGATCTGTGGAGTCCCTAACACTCCAAATTAAATGAGTGAAGCAACCTAGAATTAAGGAGAAATTTCCTAACCGTGAGAACAATTAATCAGTGAGAACTAATTAATCAGCTTTCTTCAAAAGTTGTTGGTGCTCCATGACTGGAGTTCTTCAAGAAGAGATTGGACAACCTTTTGTCTGAAATTGCATACGGTCTTCTGTTATTCTCTTAAATGACATGCATTTCACTAATAATTAAAGGATGTTTCCCTCTATAAATGGATCAATTACCTTAGTAAGCTGATTAACAGATGAAATTAACTTACCTTCCTAGGGCTGATTTTTTTAAAAAACGGGGGGAAATTGCCTCTGTAAATTTGGAAATGGCCTCAATAAACGGATTAAGAGATGAAGAAAAATTACCTCAGTAAGATTGTAGGCAGTATTTGCCGTGAGAGATTCATTAGGCAAGTTGTTTGAAATGTTTTTCAGGTAGTCCAACATGACATGTGGGTCCTGGACACTACGTTTTTCCTCTGTGAGATTAATGATGATGGATTGGTAGGCATTTATGGAAAGCTGTAAGCATAAAATAACAAGGCACTGAAAGGTTCTTCTCTTCATGAGTTGAAATAAAATGTCTTTTTCTTCAACAATGGCACTGACTTAACATTGACCAAGGAAACGAGCCTCTTCTTTGTCCTAAAGGTACATTTACTAGATAATTATTTTTATTTTGTTCATCTTTATTTTCAGGATCTGGGCTGACCAGGAAATCTGTTCTGTCCTCCCTCCAAAATTCAACTTCCTGGATAATTCATTGTATTCAGTTTATTTTACAAATATTCCTTCAGGCCTTCCAAGCCATCAATAAAACTTGACAGGTGGCTTCCACTTTAAATGGAATAAAATGCCATTCAGATGCTGGGGGAACCCAATTTCTAAACTTTTATTACAACTTTTCCTTTGAGAAAATTCCACTGTCAAATTAGTTCATTTCTCTGACTGACGCAGCTTGGAAGAAAGTATTAATCTCACAACGTCCCATAGTTGCCTCCATTTTCCTTTCAGCTCCCATCTATAATTCTGAACCTGGGCGTCTTTGGAGCAAGTCCATCACCTTAACTACCACACTACAATATGTACAAATTATGCATTTTAGATAAAGTAGCATGCAAATATGGAAAGGTTAAGTCAAACCGAACACAGTATGTTCCGATTTTGAGGCATTTTCTCCCTGCAATTCATAGATGGATCCAGAAATGGAGCAACATCAACGGGAAACATAATTTGGCACAGATTTTGACCTCAAAATTAATCTTTATATGAACATCAAAACTTGTGGGTTACTTTTCTCCTTCTTATTTCAGCTGGCTGGAATCTTGCAATGATATAACTTTTTTCCACCTCTAACATAAGCAACCTGGCAATGTCACAGAAAGAATTTAAGTTATGCACCTACCACGGGAAGTGTGGGCGTTGTTTGCCATCCCCAGGGAGATGTTGAAGAAAGCAGAGACTGGTCACCTAGAAACCACAAGGAGAAACTTTAACCATGACTTTCCCCTTAGGTACAGAGAACTGGGGAAGTGGGGGGGGGGCTATAATCCAGGGTAAAATTTGGTGTTATCCAGAAGAAAAGTTGCACGGCTGAATGTGAGACTAGCTAACATTCTCCCCTGAGGTTGAACAAACAGATGGCTGACACCACCAGCCTATCTATGATAAAAAAAAATATATTTTCAGGAATACCACCTCCCTGAAGTACTTTCCTGTAGATTAAGTTCTTCTCAATTTTGGCTTTTAGGAATTAACCTCAATATGGTCACACTTCTCTGCCTCAGCATTCGTTTTAATTTGAAATCTTGCTAAGTTACATTCTCATTTTGTTGTCTAGATTTAGTGGAAGAGAAGATGGGCATACAAGAGATAAATTGGAAGGGATAAGACATAGAAATGGAGAGACTAGACTAGACTAGACTAGACTAGACTAGACTAGACTAGAATAGAATAGAATAGAATAGAATAGAATAGAATAGAATAGAATAGAATTCTTTATTGGCCAAGTGTGATTTGTCTTGGTACAAATGGACCAAGGAATTTGTCTTGGTGCAAATGCTCTCAATGTACATCAAAGAAAAGATACATTCGTCAAGAGTCAAGAATCATAAGATACAACACTTAATAATAGTCATAGGGTACAATAAGCAATCAAATCATACTAGGAAACAGTCAATATAAATTGTTAGGATACAAGCAACAAGGTTACAGTCATTTAAAAAATTCACTTCGGTATCCAGAGAATGCCACTGAAAATGCAAAGCCTTGTGTAAATGTCTGGGCTGGCTAGTTCCTTGTGAGAAATGGCTCCTTGAGGCAGTTAGTCTCAAGAAGTTTTGACTATTATGACAATCCCAATGGAGACCACGGTTTAGCAAAAGGATAAACCATTTGTTTTCAGGAAAACCAAATTAAACTCCTAGCCTTTTCATCTATGAGTAGATGGTGGGGGTGTGAAGGCGAGGTTCTGCCATAAAATTACGCTGTTAGATACACCAGGAAGGATGGGTAAATAACCTGATTTTGTATAGATTATGTCAGAAGACTCTACACATCAGTGGTGGGATTCAAAAAATTTTTTTACTACCAGTTCCATGGGCATGGCTTGGTGGACATGGCAGGGGAAGGATAATGTAAAATCTCCATTCCCTCCCCACCCCACTAACCTGCTTTCCAGCTCCGTTCTCCTGGGCAGGGCAACAAAAGAAGACCCAGCCAATCAGCTGGGACTCGATGGGAGGCAGGGAATAGAAGGGGGCAGGGCCAGTCAGAGGTGGGATTGGCTGGTTCTCCAAACTACTCAACATTTCCGCTACCGGTTCTTCAGAACTGGTCAGAACCTGCTGTATACCCTCTCTGCTACACATCTCTACTAACCTCTAGATACTAAATGAGGTTATTTTCTCTCACAAAATGAGAGGATTAATTAAATGATCTGGTGTTTTAGGCCATCTCTGCCACAACATCTTATCCAGCGGTTGCACAATCTTGTTAAGGTTTCCCGACTCAGTGGAAATCCTCCCGTCATATCACCAAGGACTTTGAGCATTCCCTTCAAGGTTCAAACGAGACAAGATAGTCAACTCCAGCCTTGCTGGAGCGAAACTTACCGATAGCAGCTGTGAAATACTGTTTGATCTCGTTGGCGGTGAGCACTCTTTCCCAGATGATGAATTCATCAAAGGAGCCATGGAGGTGGCGCTTCCTTTGACGGCCTTCAGAGCTCATCAGCAAGTTGGAATTGGAGTCCCCATAGTTGTAGAAATCTTCCCCAAGGGGATCAGCGTTGTTCAAAGTCCCATTGATGTAGACTTTCAGGCCTTCTTTGGATTTCCAGGTAAACAGGACGTGAGTCCAATGGGGACCTGAAAAACAATGGATGTTGAGTTCAGCCCTCTCTCCCCTCGTATCCTTCAGTAATAAGCGATCCTTGGCTCCATTTCTCAAGAAAGGTATAGTTTACGAAAGGTCAAGTGGATAACAGTAAAGCAAAGCCAGAACTGAGGTTTGTGTGTGCCAAAACTTTAGGTTTAACTTTCCCTTTCTCTGTGTTGTGGTCCACCGGCAGCCTGAGGAGCTGGCAGCGAAGTTGGACAGTGGGGAGGAATATGGGCCAGTCCTGGAGTCTGGGGAGGGCTCAGATGAGGGATCTGCATCCGACACAGAGATGGGGCCAGGACCATCTGAGAGTTATGTGTGCACTCCAGAGCCTCCAGAATCTGACGTCAGTGAGGCAGAGGACGCAGGGGAGCCTGTTCCCAGTATGCATGTGTGCAGAGCTGCTAGAAGGCAAGAACAGTTAAGATAAAAGGGGCAACTCAAGAGTAAGGCTTGGAGATTATTGGCCCCTCCCATAAGACATAAAGGAGGAGCAAAGGAACATGAGCCTTTGCAGGAAGCAACTTTGTTCATTCTGGTTGGTTTAAAATCTAGGGCTCCGTGTGGACTTCATGCTCCACTTGGCCTTGTACAGCTAATTGGCAATCTAGTCACTGGCAGCATTTCAAGGGAGATAAAGGTGGGTGCTTATCAGCCTTATCCTGAAAGACTGTGGCAGACTTCTGTTGGACTGTTCACAAACTGTTTGGGACTCATTATGGACTGTGAATGCATATAATTCACAGCCGTTGAAATAAAAACAAGATTTTTGGGAACAGCGTGTGGTTGTTACTGCCTCGGGAAGCCTTGGCCAGAACACTCAGACACATCTGCCCATCGTCCAATCAGTTTCAAAGAAGATGTTTTGGAAACAGCCTCCCGGAACGCAGGTTGTCTTGCAACCACAGCCTCTCACCCAAGAAATGGCCTTAAGAGCAGTGGTGGAATTCAAAATATTTTACTACCGGTTCTGCAGGCGTGCACTTTGCGCACGGGAGGAGCGTTCTAAAACAGGCAATTTTAAGCATGAAAACTTACCTTACTGGTAAGTAAAACAGCTGTGACGCAGCAATCCTCTCTGCCGCGCCTATTAGCTGAGCCACAAACAAAGGAAATATAGGGCAGGAAGGGGCAGGGGCAGGTGGGCAGGGCCAACTACTGACTGGCGCTACCAGATCGCTAGAACCAGTGCGAACCGGCAGCATACCACCACTGCTTAAGAGGCTTTCTCCAACCGATACGGTCCCAACCGACACTTCTACTTTCCTCCCAAGTCTTCCCACTCTCTGTTGCCACCCCCCACCCCACCCCCCTAGGGTTTATGGCAAACTGGCACCGAATTCAGGAAAGCGCAAGGGTGAGGAGACCATTATGATGGGTGACGTCATTGTAACAGTATGTGAGAATGACCTTGGCAGAGAGGAAGAAGACCTGAAGACTGGGCAATGGCCAGACCAGAGGCAGCTGAATCTGCAGAAGAAATAAGCGGGTGGGAAATGTCCCAGACGGGACCCTCCCTAGTTACTTGGGCTGCAAAGGTGAGAGGGGAGAGACATCCTTTCAGACTTGCAAGATCCTCTTAATGTAACCCTCACAATAAGCAGCAGAAACCGACAGTGGATTTCTTGTCTTCCACCGTTAACGTTTCTGGTGACCTGAGTAGTTTTGACAGCTCAATTCCTTTTTGTTGTTTTTAAGAATATTGCTAATGCCTCCTGAATCAGGCTGCTCAGTTCTCCATGGATATATAACGATAATTACGTATAAATGATTATGAATGTGGCAGTTTTCCAAACGGGTCAGTGCATTTATTTCCGCCTACTTTCAATTAAGCTATTTAATTTTCCAGCTCTGTTGTTATTTTTCTTTTTCTTTGCCAAGGCCTTACTTCACCGGAGCCATGGTGGCACAGTGGTTAGAATGCAGTATTGCAGAATGACTCTGCCCGCTGTCAGGAGTTTGATCCTGACCAGCTCAAGGTTGACTTCCTAGGTTGGTAAAATGAGGACCCAATATGTTGATTCTGTAAACTGCTTAGAGAGGGTTGTAAAGCACTGTGAAGTGGTATATAAATCTAAGCGCTATTGTTAGTTAAAGACTTTCTAGCCTATAAATGCATTTGCTTTTGATCATCTATCATAGCTCAGGTCAGAATTCCACCACTGATCTTACGACCATTTCTTGGGTGAGACACTGTGGTTTGCAAGACAACCTGCATTCCGGGAGGCCGTTTCCATCTTGGCAACTTTAAGATGTGCGGACTTACTTCCCGGAATTCCCTAACCAGCATGGTGAGCTGGGGGATTTGGGAGTTGCATTAATTAATAGCTACTAATCATTAGCTATTAATTAAACTGTTTTTAAGCAAAGATGATTAGGGGAACTGGAGACTAAAATATATAAGGATCAGTTGCTGGAATTGGGTATGTCTAGTTTAATGAAAAGAAGGATTAGGAGTGACATGACAGCAGTCTTCCAATATCTCAGGGGCTGCCACAAAAGAAGAGGGAGGAGTTTAAACTCTTCTCCAACGCACCCGAAGCCAGAACAAGAAGCAACAGATGGCAACTAACCAAGGAGAGAAGCAACCTAGAACTAAGGAGGAATTTCCCCGACAGTGAGAACAATCAACCAATTGAGAACAATTAACCAACAATTAGTCTTCAGAAATTGGGGTGTTCCATCAGTGGAGGCTTTTAAGAAGAGAATGGACAACCATTTGTCTGAAATGGTATAGGGCCGTGGGGGCGAACCTACAGCACATGTGCCAGAGGTGGCATGCATAGCCCTCTTTGTGGGCATGCACACCATCGCCAGCTGCTCTTCTGGTTTCCGGTGCTCCAGCGCATGCATGCACGTGCATGTTCTGGTTCCAGCGCTCAGTGCCAAAAAGGTTCACCATCACTGGTATAGGGTTTCCTGCCTGAATAGGGGAATGGACTAGAAGACCTCCAAGGTTATTCTGTTATTCTGTTCTATTGCATTGCATTGCATTGCATTGCATTGCATTGCATTGCATTGCAT